GTTTTGTTGGCTTCCGCTTTCTGCTGGTGCTGCATTTGCTGCTGTTGTGTCTGCTGCTGCAGTTGCTGCAGTTGCTGCAGTTGGTGCTGCTGCTGCAGCAGCAGCAGCAGCAGCAGCAGCAGGTTCATTTTTTTCTCTGTCTGTCTTTGACTTTAAGTCTACCCCCTGCAGCAGCGCGTACACTCTTTCTATAGAATGCCTCTCATCATCATCGATATAAGCAGCAACAGCAGCAGCAGCAGCAGCTTCTGCTTCAGCATCTTTTGCTGCAGCAGCAGCAGCAGCAGCTGCTGCTGCTGCTGCTCCTGTTTGCTGCTGCAGCAGACCTCGGCTGTGTATCTGTTGATGGGCCCTAAATGCTGCTGTTGTTTTTCTTGTTTTTGCTGCTCTTGCTGCAGCAGCAGCACGAGTTGCTGCAGCAGGAGTATAAGAAGCAGCAGCAGCAGCAGCAGGACTACCAACAGGAGCAGGAGCAGCAGCAGCAGCAGCAGCAGCACAAAACTCTCCTGCTGCTGCTGCTTCAGCCTCAGGCACCGGCAGCTCTAGACTCAAACCCCTTACAACCTTCTCTATAGAGCTAATCAGAGACTTGGCGCAGGAGCGTATAGATGCATGCGAAGAGCGGCAGCTCTTTGGTTTATATCCTGCTGCTGCTGCTGCTGCTGCTGCTGCTGTTGCTGCTGTTGCTGCTGCAGGGGCGGTGGGGTTAGAGGGGGATGGGGAGAGACGGGATGATGGCCCTGCTGCTGCTCCTGCTGCTGCTGCTGCTGCTGATGATGATGATGATGATGAGCTAGATGCAGCTGCTGCTGAGGGAGTAGACAAACTGCTGCTGCTGCTGCTGCTGCTGCTGCAGCTGCTGCAGCTTATAGATGATCGCAGACAAGAAGAACGACGAGGAGAGCTCAGCGACAGAGACGACCGCTGCTGCTGCTGCTGCTGCTGCTGCTGCTGCTGCTGCTGCTGCAGGTCGCGTGACAGTTGATGCCTGCGGTGAGGCAGCATTTGGCAAGAAGGAGAGCGCTGCTGCTGCTGCTGCTGCTGCTGCTGCTGCAGCCGCTGCCGCTGCTGCTGCTGCTGCCGCTGCTCTGAACTGTAACGCAGGCCGCAGGAGGCGTTCGGTGTCAGATTGCTGCTGCTGCTGCAGCTGCTGCAGCTGCTGCAGCTGCTGCTGCTGCTGCTGCTGCTGTTCCTTCTTACACCCTTTGTGAGGCGGCTGGTGGAGGGCCTCTGAAAGGGCTCCTTGCTGCTGCTGGGGGCCCCCTTGCTGCTGCTGGGGGCCCCCTTGCTGCTGCTGGGGGCCCCCTTGCTGCTGCTGCGTGCCCCCTTGCTGCTGCTGCTTGGGGGCCCCGTGCTGCTGCTGAAGGCGTCTCTGCTGCTGGAGGCGCCGCTGTTGCTGCTGCAGCTGCTGCTGCTGCTGCTGCTGCTGCCGATGACTCTACGCCCAGGAGATGATAAAAGAACAGAGACGGGGGATGCTGAGCAGCAAAAACTAAATACACTATAAGCGAGGGTTTAGGGTTTAGGGTTTAGGGTTTAGGGTTTGGGGTTTATGCTGCCGGCTTTTAGCTTTCTTTTGTATGCTGGTGGTACTCTGAGCCGTTGCTAAGGGTTTAGGGTTTAGGGTTTAGGGTTTAGGGTTTAGAGTTTAGGGTTTAGGGTTTAGGGTTTAGGGTTTAGGGTTTAGGCGAATTATAAACAAAAAAAGGAGACAGAGACAAACAAAAAAGAGACAAGGAGACAGAAAGAGAAGAGGAGACAGAAAAAGGAGACAGAGAGACAGAAACTAAACAAACAAAATAAACAAAATAAACAAACAAAGAAAAAAAAGAAAAAAGCAAAGAAAACAATAAAAAAACAAAAAAAACAAAAAAAACAAAAAGAACAAACAAAACAAACAAAACAAACAAAACAAACAAACAAAGAAAACAAAATAAAAAAACACTAAACCTAAACCCTAAACCCTAAACCCTAAACCCTAAACCCTAAACCCTCACCTGTTCCCGTTGACCCCTCAACAGAAGACCGCCACGCCGATGGTTCTGTTGCCTTCGGAATCTCCTCGATCGTTGCAGCTGAAAAAACCCTAAACCCTAAACCCTAAACCCTAAACCCTAAACCCTAAACCCTAAACCCTAAACCCTAAAACCCCTAAACTCTAAACCTTAAACCCTAAAACCCCTAAACCCTAAACCCTAACCCGTAATTCCTAAACCCTAACCCTAACCGCTCAACCGTAAACCCTAAACACCAACCCCTAAACCCTAAACCCTAAACCCTAAACCCTAAACCCTAAACCCTTACCTCTTGTAACTGTAGAGAGAAGAGCTGTGGTGGTTTGGGGTTTACTGTCTAGGGGGGCCGAAGGATACCGAAAAGGGAGACGAGGAAGAAAGAACCCCGTCACGCCGCTGCCTGCAGCATATCTGCTGCTGCTGCTGCTGCTGCTGCTGCTGCTGCTGCGTTGTCTTGATGATAGAGAATCCCTGTTGCTGCAGTTTCTCTTTGTGCTGCTTCTGCTGTTGTTTCGTTGCTTCTTTTGGCGTTGTTGCTGCTGCTGCTGCTGCTGTCGTGGCGCACGCTGCCGCTGCTGCCGCTGCTGCTGCTGCTGCTGCTGCTGCTGCTGCTGCTGCTGCTTGTGGCGGTCACTCAACAGGGGCCGCAGCAGCTGCTCCTCTCTGCTCAGCCGCGCAGCAGACAGCGGGCCCCCAACCAGCCGCGACCACCGCGGGACCTTTGTACCCTGCAGCAGCAGCAGCAGCAGCAGCAGCAGCAGCAGCAGCAGCAGCAGCAGCAGCAGCAGCAGCAG